AGCAGTCACCAGCCACATCGACCTGATCAGTGTTTGATTGTTGTGTCTTGTTGCTTTTCTTCTTTTGTCTCTCCTCTATCCACTCACCCCAACCGGTCGAGACAGAAGGCCGCCCACCAAGAGCCGGGGTCTGTCGGAGGTTTCTTCTGTTAAAGGGAGTTTTTCCTCCCCACTGTCGCCAAGTGTTTGCTCAAGGGGGATTTGTTGGGTTTTCCCTATGTAATAATATTGATAACAGTAAGGTCTAGACCTTACTTTGTAAAGTGTCCTGTGATGACTTTTGTTGTGATTTGGTGCTATACAAATAAAATTTGATTTGATTTGATTTGATTCCCCAACTGAAACTCTCTTTTTTGCCTATAATTCCTGGCCACATAGAACAATTCCACTTTAAGCTTTTATTCAGTGGATTGATTTATTTAAAACAAAATGCTATTAAGTTCTAACTTAAAACACAGCCCAGTTTCTGTAGTTTATAAACACTGTGGGTTTTATATGTTGCCTTCATTGTCATCTCTACTGTTTCTTCTCTTTTCTTTCTGCTGTGAAGCACTTTGCATATATTTTTAAAAAGTTATTTATAAAATTTACTAGCCTGAGACAGTTTCTGTGTTGGAAGTGACTGAATTCTATGAACATTGAGCAGAATTGGGAGGTGGAGGTGCAGCCACCTGCCCAGTAGAGAGGCTAATTTGATAGACTTGATAGTTTATGATAAATTCTTCATATTGGATTGTTTCTAACTACTTTCACTATACAAAGAGTTAAATTGCATTTCTTTGTGGATGCATAAAAAATGTCTTGTCTCTATCCTCAGACCTGGCTAACAGAGACCCTTGCAAATTTCTAGTGAACAACACATTTTGCGCCGATTGATCTAAATAAACTTTTTCACTCAGCCTATTCAGACAATTCAGTTTGAACCTCTTGAATGATGTCGTGAGCCCACACAGGAAACGGGTGACACGTGTGCACATAAACACAAGGCGCTCTAGGACCTGGACTCTATCACACCCACTTGTGCTTCTGAAAAGACACCTGTAGAAAACACCCCTAATGTTAACC